TTAGGGCAGTATAGTGTCAGATTAGGGTAGTATAGTGGCAGGTTAGGGCAGTATAGTGGCAGGTTAGGGCAGTATAGTGGCAGGTCAGGGCAGTATAGTGGCAGGTTAAGGCAGTAGGTGTCAGATTAGGGTAGTATAGCGACAGGTTAGGGCAGTATAGGGCAGGTTAGGGTAGTATAGTGACAGGATAGGGTAGTATAGTGACAGGATAGGGTAGTATAGTGATAGGATAGGGTAGTATAGTGACAGGATAGGGTAGTATAGTGATAGGATAGGGTAGTATAGTGGCAGGTTAGGGTAGTATAGTGATAGAATAGGGTAGTACAGTGACAGAATAGGGTAGTATAGTGACAGGATAGGGTAGTATAGTGATAGGATAGGGTAGTATAGTGGCAGGTTAGGGTAGTATAGTATAGTGGCAGGTAGGGTAGTATAGTGACAGGATAGGGTAGTATAGTGACAGGATAGGGTAGTATAGTGACAGGATAGGGTAGTATAGCGGCAGGTTAGGGCAGTATAGTGACAGGGTAGGGTAGTATAGTGACAGGATAGGGTAGTATAGTGACAGGATAGGGTAGTATAGCGGCAGGTTAGGGCAGTAGTATAGTGACAGGGGGTAGGGTAGTATAGTGACAGGATAGGGTAGTATAGCGGCAGGTTAGGGTAGTATAGTGACAGGATAGGGTAGTATAGTGACAGGATAGGGTAGTATAGGACAGGATAGGGTAGTATAGTGACAGGATAGGGTAGTATAGTGACAGGATAGGGTAGTATAGCGGCAGGTTAGGGCAGTAGTGACAGGATAGGGTAGTATAGTGACAGGAAGGGTAGTATAGCGGAAGGTTAAGTATGACTTTGGGGGGGGCACAACTAAAATCTTGAAGGGGGCATAGCCTACCCCAGCACCCCCCTAGATCCGACCATGTTCTTTCCCTGTCAGAGCAGAAATGTACTGTAAGTTCAGTGTCAGGATATACGGCCCTTTGAAGGTTGTCCTGTCCTCTGTTGGAGCTAAGGGCTGATAGCTAACAACACTCTGGACTGCTGCTGGAAGCATGTTAAATGGTAAATTAAAGTGGAACTTCACACTTTCGATCAACATTGACTATTCTGAATCCTTATGCTGCCAGCATTAGTAAATACATAGGAAAGTATATCAGATTTACTTGTTTTAAACCGTTTTTTTTTTTTTTTACATTTCTTTAGTCATTTCCTGATTTCCAGGCCTAGGCAAATGACATCATAGATTCCAAGAGTCTTCAGGAGGGGAGGCGGGGCTTTCTCAGCTAAACACACCCTCCTTCCTGCATGCCTGAGCTAAGGGCAGATGGATCCCAGGAAGTAATTGCTACATGAATCATCTGCCCTTACTCAACATGGTCAGAAATGCTAGGGAGGGTTCATAGTGATTTCTCAGCAAAATAAAGCATGGAGATTGATGGATGGATGGATGGATGGATGAATGGATGGGGGAGTTTGCTCTGAATGTTAAAAATGAATGAAATCTTGCTTTTGGTTTGTGGTGCTCAGATACAGCGTGGTTCCACGAAAACCTTTAGTTTTCTTCCAGAACAACTTTGTTATTGGGCAGTTATATTTCTTCTATAATTCTTTGTATATGTCTAACTCTAATATGCCGTTAAAGCGCACACATGAAATGATGTCACAATTGCAGAACTTGGTCTGGGCAATTTTCTTAAAACACCTTGTGCCAAGTACAACAAGTCTGTCTATATGCTGCTGCTTGTTCTCACGTTGTCACCTTCTGTTATCTTCCAGAAATTTCCCCCCTCCGCAGCTTCCGGCGTCATAGAGAGCTGAAATAGCTACTGAACCAAAACCTGCTCCTAATTCACAAAAATAGCTTTTCTTCTTCTTTCTTCCTGCTAAACACAATATCTGTGTATCTGAACCAGTCATATAACAAACCCTGACTTCCCGACTCCCAAAATTAAAGTGTGAGTTTACATTTGTGGCTTAAAAAAACACAGCATCTCATGTCTGAAATATATACAGTAGGGTTGCATCGATACCGAAACTGGTATCCATGCCAATACTAAGCATTGCATGAGATCTTGTACTCGGGCAAATGCTCTGATACCTGAAACCGACACCTTTGTAGTGCAATTTGAGCCCATACAAAATGAATGGGCTCAAATTGCTCTGCAAAGAAACACATGCGATTTGGACTAGAATGCGGTGCGATTCCTGTCCAAATCTCAGTTTCCTTTTAAACTTTAACATTTCTAACAGCCTCTGTTTGCAAAAGCAAGGTTGTCAGCTCACTTCCCCCCTCCAATATTTCCTGTGAAGTAATGTGTTCCAATCTGTAGCTGGTACTCAAGGGCATATACTGCACAGTTTAGAAAGTCTTTTGAATGTACAGAAAGTGAAAGAGGAAATATATGCATTGTGACGTAATTGTTAATATGTATACCCTGTGAGATGTTTTTCAAGCCACTTACAGTCAGGTCCATAAATATTGGGACATCGACACAATTCTAACATTTTTGGCTCTATATTTGAAATGAAACGAACAATATGTGCTTTAACTGCAGACTGTCAGCTTTAATTTGAGGGTATTTACATCCAAATCAGGTGAACGGTGTAGGAATTACAACAGTTTGCATATGTGCCTCCCACTTGTTAAGGGACCAAAAGTAATGGGACAGAATAATAATCATAAATCAAACTTTCACTTTTTAATACTTGGTTGCAAATCCTTTGCAGTCAATTACAGCCTGAAGTCTGGAACGCATAGACATCACCAGACGCTGGGTTTCATCCCTGGTGATGCTCTGCCAGGCCTCTACTGCAACTGTCTTCAGTTCCTGCTTGTTCTTGGGGCATTTTCCCTTCAGTTTTGTCTTCAGCAAGTGAAATGCGTGCTCAATCGGATTCATGTCAGGTGATTGACTTGGCCATTGCATAACATTCCACTTCTTTCCTTAAAAAACTCTATGGTTGCTTTTGCAGTATGCTTTGGGTCATTGTCCATCTGCACTGTGAAGCGTCCAATGAGTTGTGAAGCATTTGGCTGAATATGAGCAGATAATATTGCCCGAAACACTTCAGAATTCATCCTGCTGCTTTTGTCAGCAGTCACATCATCAATAAATACAAGAGAACCAGTTCCATTGGCAGCCATACATGCCCACGCCATGACACTACCACCACCATGCTTCACTGATGAGGTGGTATGCTTAGGATCATGAGCAGTTCCTTTCCTTCTCCATACTCTTCTCTTCCCATCACTCTGGTACAAGTTGATCTTGGTCTCATCTGTCCATAGGATGTTGTTCCAGAACTGTGAAGGCTTTTTTAGATGTCGTTTGGCAAACTCTAATCTGGCCTTCCTGTTTTTGAGGCTCACCAATGGTTTACATCTTGTGGTGAACCCTCTGTATTCACTCTGGTGAAGTCTTCTCTTGATTGTTGACTTTGACACACACAGCTCTTTGGATCTCATCTTTAGAGTTGACAGAAACAGATTCCAAATGCAAATAGCACACTTGAAATGAACTCTGGACCTTTTATCTGCTCATCGTAATTGGGATAATGAGGGAATAACACACACCTGGCCATGGAACAGCTGAGAAGCCAATTGTCCCATTACTTTTCGTCCCTTAACAAGTGGGAGGCACATATGCAAACTGTTGTAATTCCTACACCGTTCACCTGATTTTGGATGTAAATACCCTCAAATTAAAGCTGACAGTCCACAGTTAAAGCACATCTTGTTCGTTTCATTTCAAATCCATTGTGGTGGTGTATAGAGCCAAAAATGTTAGAATTGTGTCGATGTCCCAATATTTATGGACCTGACTGTAGCTTGCAGACACGAGTCCTTGCTAACTCAGAGCTGGTTAATAAATCTTGTTTTCCTCAAGTTCGTGTCCGGAGTTTTACCTGGTATTCCCAAAGTAGCTACTACATTTCAGGTGCCATTTGCGGTGTGATTTGAGCTATACAAAATGATTGGGCTCATATGGCTCTGCAAAGAATCCCATGTGATTTGAACTAAAAATTGTGCTCCTTCAGCTGAAGTAGTAGTGCATTTCCTGTCCGAATCACTTGCGGTTTCCCTGCAAATGGCACCACACCCATGGGGAAAATACATGTGATTTGAAAAGGAATTGGACCGCATTTCTGTTCAAATGACATGCAATTCTTTGCAGAGCAAAGAACCATTTTGTATGTGCTCAAATTGCACCACAAAGGTATTGGTAATCATTATTGTTGAGTACTTGAGCACAAGTATCGGTACTCATACTCACTGACAAAAAAAAATTGTCTGTGCAACCCTAATGGACAGTATTATAAAAATCCACTAATGGGAGGAGCCTGTTCATGACACAGTCTCAACGCATAGACAAAGCCAAAATTCTTGTTCCCCATCATGGCAATTCACACCACAGGGCAGTGCTGGGGTGTCATGAAAACATATGCTATGCCATGCATCCACCTCACATCACATCACAGCTTACAATAATGGTTGTGGTGCGATGTACTGTTTAGACCATGGGCACTGCTGCCAAAAAAGGCTCAAAAATTGTGGGGCGGTATTGGATGCTGCTAGTGTGAACAAGCCCTAACAGAGCAAGATTGGTGTATTATATTGTATTTATTGGCCTGCAATTCCCCATCTAAAATTAACTTATTGGAGATGTTTAAACTTTCATTGCAATGCATTTAAAAATGCATGACAAAATAACATAGAAGAATGAAGGTGGAAAAAAGACCAAGTGGTCCTTCAAGTCTGCCCCCTTTTTTAAAATAATACTTTCTAAGATTAGTTTTGAAGTTTCTTGCCCTCCTGAACCTTATTCACCCTGTTGGATGTATTTAAAGGTTTCACTCATGTCTCCCCTTTCCCCTCTTGCCTCCGGACTGTACTTACATTATATTGCCAAAAGTATTGGGCCAGCCCAACAAATCATTGGATTCAGGTGTTCCAATCACCTCCATGGCCACAGGTGTATAAAATCAAGCACCTAGGCATGCAGACTGCTTCTAAAAACATTTGTGAAAGAATGGGTCGCTCTCGGGAGCTCAGTGAATTCAAGTGTGGTACCGTGATAGGTTGTCACCTGTGCAATAAGTCAGTCCGTGAAATTTCCTTACTACTAAATATTCCACACTCAATTGTTAGTGGTATTATAACAAAGTGGAAGCAAAGTGGGAAGCAACTGGGAAAACAGCAACTCAGCCACAAAGTGGTAGGCCACGTAAAATGAGAAAGCGGGGTCAAAGTATGCTGAAGTGCGCAGAAGTCACCAACTGTCTGCAGAGTCAATAGCTGAAGACTTCCAAACTTCATGTGGCCTTCAGATTAGCACAACAACTGTGCATAGGGAGCTTCATTCAATGGGTTTCCATGGCCGAGCAGCTGCATCCAAGCCTTACATCACAAAGTACAATGCAAAGCGCCGGATGCAGTGGTGTAAAGCACGCCACCACTGGACTCTAGAGCAGTGGAGACGTGTTCTCTGCAGTTGCCAGGAGAACGCTACTTGCCTGACTCCATTGTGCCAAGTGTAAAGTTTGGTGGAGGGGGGATTATGATGTGGGGTTGTTTTTAAGGTGTTGGGCTTGGTCCCTTAGTTTTTTAAGGTGTTACCAAGGGCATTTTTAGGGGGCCCCATGAGATGCCCCTGGTACCTTTTTCATAGGCTTTTAAGAGTTCAGGCAAGGACACAGGGTTTGCCAGTGGGGGCCCATGAGTTTGGGGATGGCCCCCTTAGTTCCTGTCAACATACCAAGACATTTTGGACAATTTTATGCTCCCAACTTTGTGGGAAGAGTTTGGGGATGGCCCCTTCCTGTTCCAACATGACTGCACACCAGTGCACAAAGCAAGGTCCATAAAGACGTAGATGAGCCAGCTTGGGGTGGAGAAACTTTACTGGCCTGCACAGAGTCCTGACCTCAACCCAATAGAACATCTTTGGGATGAATGACAGCGGAGGCTGTGAGCCAGGCCTCCTCCCCCAACATCAGTGCCTGACCTCACAAATGCACTTCTGGAAGAATGGTCAAACCTTCCCATAGACACCCTCCTAAACCTTGTGGACAGCCTTCCCAGAAGAGTTGAAGCTGTTATAGCTGCAAAGGCGGGGCCAACTCGATTTTGAACCCTACGGACTAAGACTGGGATGCCAATAAAGTTCATGTGCATCTAAAGGCAGGCATCCCAATACTTTTGGTGATATAGTGTATGTTGCAAGGCTTTTAACAAACTTTGTTGCAGACTCCAACCTTTTTTATTTTGAGGAATAGCGGTTTGTTTGTCTGTGTCCATGTGCCAACTGAATGTGAATGGGAGTGATTTATAATTATCAATCAGCTGCTGCACTCTCATGGTTCTAATGAGGAAAGTGGCAGGGTCTGCATCCATTTAAACGTGAATAAGCCTTAGGGAGTTTTTGTTGCAGGGGATGCCTGGGCAAAACCTGACTTGTATCTTAGTGCAGACCTCTAGGAAAATCGGTGAGCCAATCATACAAGCAGGAAATGACATTTCTGGGAGGAAAGGGGGGGGGGTCATTTTAAAGAAAATTACAGTTCTGCAGATCATAAAAGGAACAGTAATTTTTAATAACATTATACTACAATATGGCTTGTGCTGCAACTGTATATGCTACATTTTTATTTTGTTTTGGTTGGGATATTTTTCCCACAAAAGTGGAGTTACCCTTTAAATTTAGTATATGAAGAGTAAGGGGTGATAAAGGAAGTACAAGGAAGAGTATTGGGGAATAAAACATTTGTGGGTTTGATCAAATAATGTTTAGCCTGTTAATTCTTTATGAATCATGTAACTGGGGCCATAGCAGGGGTGTGTCCTTCATTGACATAGTTTGTACTTAAAAGTGTATTTTTTTCTCATCCCTGTAGTTTGGGAGGTATGTAAAGGGGAAATCTATATTGGTTACAATGTTTTAAGACACGCATCACTAAATGGCAGGCAGACCAAGTGGCAGTTCTATTTGAACTGGTTGGAATACAATGTGCTTGTAGTTTTGTACAACTATATCAGTATTCAGGAGTGATATATTCTTCGACCAGTAGATGGCAGTGTTTATGAATTTATAGCTGCATCTATGGTTGTACTCTGTTTTTCTCAATAATAAAGTTCCTGTTTCCTGTTTGAAGAGAAGCAGCAGATAAACACATGTGCCCTGTATGTTCTGTAGGGCTAAATACAGAATCTCTAACAGAACCACTAGTCAGTTCCCAACAGGTTCCCACCCCTCCTCCGCAGTGATTGGTTGTTGTTATTGCTAGTGTCCTTGTGACGAACATGGTGCCCGACCCCTGCCCTTCTCACCAGCTCGTGACAAAGAACCCACCAATCTCACACCGCGCTGTCCCTTGTGTAACAATGCCACTCTCAGCTGCACCCAGGAGCCTGAGAGCGATTGTCACTGGGTTAGTTAATTAAGCAATTAATTCCTTAAACCGCCTCCACCGCCTTTTTGCAGAGAAGGAGGAAACTCAAAAATCTTAACACAATGATTTTAGCACAAACGTCTGAAACACACACTGTCACCACAGACAGGTATGTTCAGAGGATTGTTATATACAGTAGCACTCTTCAAGAGACAGGAATTCTTTAGTTTGCAATTAAAGCCTTACAGATAGTTTTAACACTTTTCAGAATAGGGGTTATTAATCTAAAGGTCAAATGGTGCAATATAAAAATATTTACAGAAAAGGATATTGCAAAGACAAAGAACAATAATGCAACAGAAATAAAAGAATGTGATAATAGAGGATACTTGCTTGGTTTTAGCAGAGTCCAATTGTCCAAGCAAAAACTTTGCCTTGGCTCTCAAATCTGTTAAGATGTTCCTTGGTTGATGTTAAACGGGAGCTCTCTTACTAGATCTGGTCAGTCCCTTTCTATGATAGCAAAGGGGTGTCGCCCGAGAACAACTGAACAATCATCCTGTTTAAGGGATGGGTGCTAGGAGGTCCCCAAATTTATGACCAGGTCCCAACTACAGTTTCATACTAATATGAACACCTTCCAATATGTGCAGGTGGTAATCTAGTAACTGACAGATTATTATTCAGAATTATATTTCGAACCCAGGGATACCAAACACAGCATACCTTTGTCACCCAGGAGGGAAGAGACTGCTTTCTCCCCTTTCCTATGTGCTAACATAGTCATGTATGACCTTGATTTGTTCGGTATCATATTCCCTATTCAAATATATACATAATATTAATGTGCCCTGTTCCTGTTTAATTCTATGAATTGTATGTGGAATTGTTACATGTGGAATAGACGTTTTATGGCACGCTCTGCATTCCTAGAGCCTTCATGGCCTTACAGGTCATGCACAACTGCTTGACTAAGTTATTATTGTTTTACGATAGGACAGACGGAAGACTTTTCAATGGTTCATAGAAACAGACATCTTCTATTAATGTTTTACAACGCTGACCAAGTCTGTTTGCTGGGTTCTGTTGTGTTTTAGTTAAGATAAGTGGCTCTTTAGAAGTTCATTAAAACTTACAGCTACAAATTCCACAGTTTTCAGGAGGAGAGAGGGGAGAAGGAAGGTCACTGTATGAAAAACAAAATCATTGAGACCTTAACAAGCTGGCTGTCGTGTACAGGTTTCATGTCCCTATTGCGCACAATTGTTACAGTCCTAACAACAAATGAGTTCCCTGCCCTCAGCATCACAGGAGAACAGAAGTGGAACTTCTTCTATCCAGACCTCTGCTTGCTCCATCTACCAGCTCTGTCCCTCTGAATGCCCCCTTTGCTCTTCTCTATGCAATGCAGGCAGATCATGGCTGGTGAGAGGGGCCCTGATGCAAATAGTGGGCTGGCTTTTGGGAGAAGTTATGAAAATATAACGCCTTAATGGGTGAATGTCCGTCTGGAGAAGTGGGCGTTCCTAGGCGTGCTGTATTTGCATGCAGACCACCCTAGGAAACGCCCACATTTGATGCTGAGCCTCCACGATTGAAAGAACTAAAATCCAATGATTGCAAGGGGTGGGCCAGGGCAGGTAGGCTAGAGAGGAAATTATACTGGGCATCCTGCAGCCAGGTAATGAGGTGGGCTCCATATGACTTGCTGCAGCTTCTAATGCACATTAAGTTAATGTTCTGCGTGTGTGTAGCAGGTGAGGCTCGGCTAACGTAAAAATATGTTGCCTGTTTTCTTCCAGATTGATTGCCAGCTCTCTTCCTGCACTCTGATTGGACAAAGCACAATTTTGTCAGCCCACTTCAGCCAATGATTTATGGCGAAAACCTGCTGATCAGCTGTGTCCAATCACAGGGCTCTGTACACAGAGCAGCAACCTGGCTGTTTCTTCTCCCTGAAAAGCAGGGAGAAAAGAACAGCCAGATCTCTTAGTAAAATCAGCACACATTACACTTGTTTGGCTCACAACTGACCCCTTGATTTCCCTTAGATGTCAGCCTCTTCCCAGTCAGTGTCATTAGTACATAGAGATGGGCCAAACACCCTCCTGTTCGGTTCGCGGTTGAACATCCGAACCTACAGAATGTTCGACCATGAACTTCGAATACAAACAATTTACTGCTCTTACTGCATTTGAGTATGAAGTATGATACCGCTCAGTTACTAAAATACTGCATGAGTTATATTATGAAGTCATTCAGTATTTTAGTAGTGAAACATTCATTAATGTTTCAGCTGTCATTGGAGTTTCCCGCTGATGGTTGAATGTAAACAGAATTGCCCAACAATAACAAGTAAAAAAAAAATCTTTATTACAAATAAAAATTAAAAAAAGTCCCCAATAGTAGATCCAACGTCAATCATGATGCCCACCGCTGCCGCTACACGAAAAAAGAAAAAAAGATGCTACGCTTGCGATGCTGGCTCTTGCCTTCTGACAGCTGCACCCCTGATGACAGTTCTTAAATACTGTCATGACATCACAAGGCGGTGGGGTCATCACGTGGTGTGATTGGTCAATGCATTGCACCTGACCTGTGATCAGGTGCATTGATTTGACCAATCACAATGCACTGTCAGGACGCAGTGCACTGTGGGGCACGGCAGGGGAACAGCCCGCTGAACGCCCGTAGCATTCATGTGTTCAGCGAACACACAAATGGCCCATGTTCGAGTCGAACTTAGATTCAACTCAAATATGTTGCCCACTACTATTAGTACAATGACTGTGTATAGTATTATATCTGATCACTGTATTAATGTCACTATTGATCTCAGTGTCAGTTAGTGTCCCTCCCAGCCAGTGTCTGTTAGTGCCAGATTGCCTGCCACACTATCACAGTCACACTGTAAGTTGCTGATCACTGCCATTACCTGTATAGAGTCATAGCTGCATAAATTCCAGTATATACTGTATACCACAGTTTGTAGATGCTATAAGTTTCACACAAATTAATAAACACTGATTTATTTTTATAAATTGATACTTTTGGCCTAAATGTTTAAATAAATTTGATTTTTTATTGGATAGGTTTTATAGCAGAAAGTAGAAAATATTGGGTGTTTATTTCAAACATTTCAGTATTTTATCGTTTATATATTAAAAATTAAAAAAATCAAATGCTACCGAAAGAAAGCTCTATTTCTATGAAAAAAAGATACATTTCATTTGTGTACAGTGTTGCATGCCTGCTCAATTGCCAGTTAAAATATTGCAGTGCTGAATAGCAAAGAATGGCCTGATCATGAAGGGGGTAAAACCTTGCAGTCAAGGGGTTAAATTATCATCCTTAGAAAAAAAATTGCACCGTTCAGATTTTCGCACCCTTCTCTGTAAACTCCGGAGTGTATGACAACCCCACAAGGTCAGCAGTATGTGAGACGCTGCAGGCACAGGACAGGAAAATTCCAGCAGAACTTGTAAAGATCACTAGATTTGAACATCCCTAGTCTTCATTCACACTAGAACACACAACAGAAGGTGTCATGCGTGTTTTGTGTGTTTTTTGCGTGTTTTCACAATACACACATAGGACAGGACATTCATTGCAATAGCTGCCCTACACGCAACAAATGCAGCAAAAATGTGCATGTATGTGACACCTGGCATCATGTATTAGTCTCTGTTCGCACCAATGTGTTTTTAACCACTTCCAGACCGAACACTTTTACCCCCTTCCTGAGCAGGGCAATTTTCAGCTTTCAGCGCTATCACACTTTGAATGACAATTGCGCGGTCATGCAACACTGTACCCAAATGAATTTTTTACCTTTTTTTGAGACAGATAAAGCTTTATTTTGGTGGTATTTATTCACTGCATGGATTTTTTATTTTTTTTGCTATGTAAATGAAAATGTCCAAAAATTTTGAAAAAAAAAGTGTTTTTTTTTATAACATTTTGCAAATAAATAATATTTCATCATAAATCTTGGCCAAAATTTATTCCGTTATCTTTTTAGTAAAAAAAAAAAATCCAAATTAGTTTATAACCAAAAATTATAATTTTTTTTACATTTTTATTTTATTTTTTTATATTATTATTTTTTATTTTTATTTTTTTTTTTACATACTGTCACCCTAGCAGTACAGTGTCATGATGGTGTCACCATGGTGACACTGTACTACTTGTGGGGGGTGATGAAGATTTATTTTTTTTTTTTTTACACTGATTGCTTTTACACCCATATAGGGTGTAAAAGCAATCATTTCTCTTTCTCTCTGTCTGCATTCTTGCACTCATTGAGAACTACTGTGTGAGCTGTGATTGGTCACAGCTTGTCACATGGTACAAGGCTGTTGTGAATAGCCTTGTACCATGTGACCTCTGTGATCATTCACAGATTTCACACGTAGTAAGCAATGATGTCACAAGTGACATCTTGCTTACTACTTTGCATGTGATCACTGATTGGCCAATCAGTGATCACATGATCGGGACCTCGTACAGAGGTCCCGTTCGATGATCGGTGTTTCACTGTGTCCGGAGGACACAGCGGGCACCGGATCGCGGTGCTGCGCGCTCCCAGGGAGCGCGCACAAGCAGGGTGCGGGGAGGCCGTTTATAAACAGCCACCAGACCCTGCACTGCCACCGTCTGGCCGTTTATATGCAGCGGCCGGTCGGGAAGTGGTTAAGTGCTTTTTGCAGAAACGCACTACAGTCCATTTAACATGGTTTCCTATGGAACATGTTCACATCTGTGATTTTTTGAGGTGCTGCATTTTTGGAAAGGTTCGGGGACTTTTTTAAAAGCAAAAAGCAGCATTTTTGCTCCAATATTGTTCAATGGAGAAGCTGCTGAATGCATGGTAGTCGGCTTTTGCCACATTTTGAGCTTTGCATCTTTATTCTGCCCAGCAACAAAAAAAATTCCACTTTAACAGAAAAAAAAAGAGCTGCATAAAACGTGGTAAAAACACGTCAAAAACTCATGTAGAAAAACACAAAACAAACTGTAACAAGCACTGGAGAAAGCATCAAACACAAAATGCATATATGTGATCCAAGCCCTAGGCTTGGTTCACACCTATGCAGTTTGCTTTTGATCCGTTTTAGGGCCAGTTCACACTACATGCGTTTCAGTAGCTTTTTCCTGCATCCGCAATGCACAGAAAGTAGGTGATATGGTTGTCAATGTCATAGTTCACATCAGTGCTTGCAGTTCCAGTTGCAGAAAAAAAAAAGCAGAGAACGAGCTGCATGTTACCGGCACAGAACTGTACTGGAACACAGTAAAACGCATGAAAAACACACTGGAAGGCACCAAAACTCATCAAAAATGCCCATTTCCCTATTTAAATTGAAGAAAAAGAGGCGAAAAAATTTAAGTGGAAAACATCAAAAACGCACTGGAATGCATAAAAAACGCACCAGAATGTGCCACAAATATGTCAAAAATGCACATGCAGAAACGCATCCACAATACATCTGGACTGCATTTCTATGATGTGAACAGGCCCTTATAATGCTTTTTGCAGTGGGTTTTTCCTTTTTACATGAGTATTTTTACCGCGTTTTTCAGCTTTTTTTTGTTAAAGTGGAACTTTTTTCTTGCTGGGCAGAATAAAAACGCAGCAAAAACAACAAAAAACACAGCAAAAATGTACTACATGCGTTTCAGTAGCTTCTCCTTTGAACTCTATTGTAGCAAAAACACTGTTTTTCCATTTAAAAAAGTCCCCGACCCTTTCCAAAAAGGTAGCGGCTCAAAAAAGCACAGATGTGAACATGTCCCATAGGAAACCATGTAAAGTGGACGCCCTGAAGAAGCATGAGGATCTCCCGGGCCGTCTGCTCCATACTCTGCACCACCTTCCGGATCTCCTCCCGGATGTCCTGGTCGGCGCCCAGCCCGCTACAGAGCGGAGATCCTCATCCTTCTTCAGGGCATCCACCAGGAGGCGGGACTCAATAACATTCCCGCGAAGTGCTTGAAAGTGCGAGAACATTTCAGCTCCGTCCGGACGCAGCTCAAGGAACTGGCCACTAAGTTCCCCTCTGATCAGTATTACCGAGCTAACGATTCCCAGGACCCCAGTGGAATTACAGTTGCAAACAGGGGCGGACTGACAAGTCATGGGGCCCCCGGGCAATAGGGGATCATGGGGCCCCTGTGTCCTTGCCCAAACTCAAAAAAGCCTATGAAAAAGGTACCAGGGGCATCTCATGGGGCCCCCTACTGACCCTGGGCCCACGGGCAGTGCCCGAGTTTCCATATGGCCAGTCCGCCCCTGGTTGCAGAGGAGTCTCATATCCAGAGGAGGGAGTCTTTCCCCACGCTATCTGTCTGGTCCATCTAAAGGGGGCTTCCTACAGATTCTTGGTTGACCCTAGGTTCACATCTGTGCAGGTGGTGCCGCTGTGGATCCGCACGAAAATCTATGCAGCAGCACCACCCGCACAGAGAAATGCGGGCCCGCGGGCGGGTGCCATTAGTTCTAATGGCACGCCGCCCACACTGGAAAATGTAACCGTACTGGGAACCAAGGTTCCCGTGTGGACTGCGTTTTTCAAAGAAGTGCAGGGACTTATTCTCTGCGTGTCACGGGCATGGGAGTCCATTCAAATAAATGGGCTCTTGTGCCCGTGCAAAACGCAGCCCGCACGGCCGCATAGATGTGAACTGGGGGTAATATACCGTTCAGCACATTGCGCTTTAATTATGCGCATCTGGTGAGTACGCATTTTTATCAATCTCCCGCACGGATAAAGTCACATGGAATAATCTGACACCACCTGTGCAATAGGACCTGTTTGCGACAATGTATTCTGAGCAGTGTATGTCAGACCTTCACCACCTATGAACACGTTTTGCTTTAAGACTTTCACAGCTGCACGTATTTTATTGTGCCAACCATAGCACTTCATCCACTTATATTTGCTATCACTAATATATAATATTGATTTATTATCATCATCGTTAATAATTATGTATTATTTATTTTTTTTAGTCCTACTCTGTCATTTTTTTTTAGCGCTGCACTGTTTTCTGTCTGTATTATATATAAAGTTCTGTTTTAGTGCATTTGTGGCTGATCTAACCGGATCCCTGAGCGCTTGCTGTTCCTTTGTTCATTTTCTATCATGATAAATGGACTGTAGTGTGTCTCTGCAACAAGCACTAAAAAACATATTGGTGTGAAACCAGGGGCGGACTGACCATTTGGAAACTCGGGCACTGTAGGGGGCCCCATGAGATGCCCCTGGTACCTTTTTCATAGGCTTTTTTGCGTTTGGGCAAGGACACAGGGGCCCCATGATCCCCTATTGAGGGCCCAGGGTCAGTAGGGGGCCCCATGAGATGCCCCTGGTACCTTTTTTATAGGCTTTTTGAGTTTGGGCAAGGACACAGGGGCCCCATGATCCCCTATTGCCCGGGGGCCCCATGAGTTGTCAGTCCGCCCCTGGTGTGAACCAAGCCTTATAGTGTGGATGGGGTCAGGGGATGAAAGCTGTAGATTAGCTCAAGCACCTTTTTGAGCTTCTCACCTTTTTTTAACTGTGCGTGTTTCTGCGTTTGAAAAGTATGTCTGTATTAGGAGTGCCCGTAAAGTGTTACTAAACCCACAAAAATAAAATCAGTCTCTATATGCAGTACAGCATGCTTGTTATACTCACTGTGGAACCTAAAAGGGGTAATCCTCTGCATTGTATAAAATGGCCGTTTGATCCTGTCTTCTCTGCTCCTCCTTTTGTTCAAATGTCCACATCTTATCTCCTGATAAGACAGACTGACCCATAATCATTTTGCACATGCTCAGTTTAGTGTGTTTTGCTAAAGAGGTTTTTGTTTTTTTTGGGAGAGTGCATGTGATCATCACAGGGCCAATCAGCACTGTCCAGACAGAAGTCAGGGGTTCTGCATCCTCCTAGAGCAGAAAGAAAACTCTTCCTACAAGCTGTAACCAGTGCTCAGCTGAACACTGATAGAAGTCACAAGACTGCTCTAACTACTGATGAGAAAATGTATTTAGCAGTTTATATTTATTGCATTCCCATGTTCTGTGTACTGTGGGAGACCAGATATAGTGAATGCGGGGTCTGGGGAGACCAGATATAGTGAATGCGGGGTCCTGGGAGACCAGATATAGTGAATGCAGGGTCCGGGGAGACCAGATATAATGAATGCAGGGTCCGGGGAGACCAGATATAGTGAATGCAGGGTTCGGGGAGACCAGATATAGTGAATGCAGGGTCTGGGGAGACCAGATATAGTGGATGCAGGGTCCGGGGAGACCGGATATAGTGAATGCAGAGTCCGGGGAGACCAGATATAGTGAATGCAGGGTCCGGGGACACCAGATATAGTGGATGCAGGGTCCAAGGAGACCAGATATAGTGGATGCAGGGTCCGGGGAGACCAGATATAGTGAATGCAGGGTCCGGGGAGACCAAATATAGTGAATGCAGGGTCCGGGGAGACCAAATATAGTGAATGCAGGGTCCAAGGAGACCAGATATAGGGACTGCGGGGTCCGGGGAGACCGGATATAGTGAATGCAGGGTCCGGGGACACCAGATATAGTGAATGCAGGGTCCGGGGAGACCAGATATAGTGAATGCAGGGTCCGGGGAGACCAGATATAGTGAATGCGGGGTCCTGGGAGACCAGATATAGTGAATGCAGGGTCCGGGGACACCAGATATAGTGAATGCAGGGTCCGGGGACACCAGATATAGTGAATGCAGGGTCCGGGGACACCAGATATAGTGAATGCAGGGTCTGGGGTTTAGTAACACTTTAAAATATACGTGAACTCTCACCTTGTAAAACAACCCATATAGTTTAAATGGAAATGAAAGTCAAAACATTTGTGTATCGTTTAAAAAAAAAATAAAAATAAACACCTTTCCCCCCTTTTTCATATGTGATCACATACCTCCTGTTCTCAGTTGTATAAAGAGGTGGGGGAGGAGAAACAGCAGAACACTAATCTTCCCCGGGAATGGCTGTGTAGGAAGGTTGTGTGAGGACAAGTCTGTTCATTGGAGTCATGAAGGCTGAGTTCCCAGCACAGCTAGAAAACTGACCATGCTGTGCTCTCATGCCTAGTGTGGTCACTTTTAATAGGAAATTGAGGGATTGGCAGGAACACCAGGGATTTCACACAAAGCAAGCACAACAAAGAGAACAGGATACCTTTTCATACAAGTACATGGTACAACAGGCACATATCAGGATTATGAAATGTTGGGTTTACATGTTCTTTAACAGTAAACAGCACCACAGGCATGTCATGCATTTTTTGCGCATTTTGTAAATGTGTGCACAATCGCACATTCATGAAATGTACTAGTATGAATGCATCCAAAGGGAAGCTGTCAGGATCATTGTATAGGAGCTACATTACTTCTTTATTATTGATTACAGGCATTTATATATGGACAAAAAAATTACACGGTACTTTAGGCTGCATTCACTCTTCATTGATCAGGTTTTTTTTTTTGCTGCATTTTTCATGCAACAGCATATGGCAGCGCATACACCTGAATGGCCCGCCCTATGCGCACAATATATGCCAAAGTAGCTCAAGTACCACTTTTTGCACTGACTCAAACTCGTTTGGCGTTCTGCGTTTCTTGCACGTTTTGTTGTCCAGCAAAAAACATGAGAAAACGTGGGATTGCTACCCAGGTTGGGGTGGCATTGAGAAATAATGGCTCTGCAAACACGGTTTAATGCATTTTTCACGTTTCTGGAAATGATAAAAGTGCGTTTCTGCCTGCATTTTCCACACCTAGTCGTTTTTTGTGCTTTTTGCAGAAACGCACTACAGTCCATTTAGCGAGGTTTCCTGTGGGACATATTCACAACTATGCTTTTTTCAGCCGCTGTGTTTGGAAACGATCATCAGGAACCTTTTCAGACGCAAAATGGAGCGTTTTGGTAAACAGATCTCAAAGGAGATGTAGTGTATGTTTTAGGCGTTTTTGATGCGTTTTGCGTTTTTTAATCTGCCCAACAATAAATTGGCCCAAAAAAGGGTAAAAAAGGCAAAGCATGTCAAGAAACACATGATAAAAAATGCAAAAAGCACTGGCAAATCTAATGAATCGCAAACTGCATAGGTGTGAACCAGGCCTCAAGGAGCTTACAATCTAAGGTCCCATCTCACATACTAGGGCCAGTTTAGACATGAGTCATATAAGCTACCAGCAAGCCTTTGGAGTGTTGGAGGAAACCCATACAAGCACAAGGACAGCATGCAAACTCCATGCAGGTAGTGTCATGATCAGGATCAGGGGCGGACTGACCATTCGGGCATTGCCCGAAGGCCCGGGGTCAGTAGAGGGCCCGGTGAGAGGATCACTGGGCACAATTCACTAAGTGCTATCTTTAGGGGTGTATTTACCACAAGGCAAACAAGGCATTTGCCTATGGCGGCATTTTTCAGGGGGGCAGCAATGCTCCCCGGAAGAAGGGACACACGCAGCATGGGGACTAGGAGGGATCCGAGAAAGGCTGCGGGCTGCTTGACGATGTATGCAGAGTCTGACTCTCATTCCAGGGGATGTCTAGAGCTGTGAATGTGAGTGTCTTTCTCTCTCTCTCGCTGGTGATGGTAGTGGAATGCGATTTTTGTGTTGCCTAGGGCAGCACAAAAACCTAAATACACCACTGGGTATCTTACCACATCCGAGTATGCGGTAGGATACTGCATAGCATTTTTTTAAAAAAACACATTTGAATTCACCAAAAAAAGCTACTAAAATGCCGCATGAGTTATTTTATCAAGTCATGCGGTATTTTAGTAATGAAAAGCATGCGTTAATGTTTCAGCTGTCAGTGCGGTTCCCATTGACAGCTGAATGTTAAAAGAAAGAATTGCCGGCAAAAAATGTTTTAAAAAACGGCGTGGGGTTCCCCCCCATCCACACCAGACCAGAAGGGCTTGGTATGGATGAGGGGGGGGAACCCCACACCAAAATTAAAAAAAAAAAAAAATGATTTGGGTGGCGTCGGCAGGCATTGAGACTGATGTTGGATCTACTTCGGGGGAAATTCTTTTGTTTTTCTTCTTTTAATAAAGGACTTGTCAAAGACTGTCTCCTGTCTTTTTTCACACTACACTTTTTTTTGTGAATGGGTAGTGGTACCATGTACCTCATACTCATTCACATGGGGGGGCAGGATCTGGGGGCCCCCTTGCTAAAGGGGCATGTGGCCAGGTATGGTTCCAAAAGGGGGGGGTGCTCGCTCATCCCCCCACTTTCCTGACCTGTCTGCCTGCATTCTCGGATAAGGGTCTGGTAAGGATCGTAGGGGGACCCCACGTCATTTTTTTTAATTTTGGCATGGGTGTTCCCTTCAAAACCCATACCAGACCCGAAGGGCTTGGTATGAACGGAGAGGGGACTCCATGACGTTGTTTTATTATTTTTTTAACTATTTTTTAATGCCTTTTCTATGCAGCTGAGCTTCAATATGTAGGTGGGGTATTGTGTGGGTGTGGCTTAGGCTTGAGTGTAGGCAGAGACACAGGGGGCCCCATTATCTCTTCTTGCCTGGGGGCCCCATGAGTTGTCAGTCTTTCCCTGATCGGGATTCAAACTACGAGCCCCAGTGCTGTAAGGCAGAACTGCTGCCCATAATGATGATATTATTGTTACCATAGGGAGTATGCAGTAGAAGGCTATAGCAGCCCCCCCCCCCCCCCATAGAACAGCCTTGATGGAGAACAGCTGCACTGCCACAATTACGCACTCCTCCATGCGTCTTTGCAGGTACCGCTCAGTGAATATCGCAGTATTTAGCAGCTGCAGCTGTTCATGGATTTTCTTACATTTTCCCCATAAAGATCAACACAAATATTTCTCAGAAAAAGGATTATTAGACTCTATTATGACTTGCTGGGAGGTTTAATGTGACTTTCTATCTAATGAACTGCAGTAAAAAAAAAAAGAGCTTACCTCTGGTTTCAGATGGCGGAGTTGTAGAGTTGTATAGATTTCTAATTATAAGCTATTAACACATTTGTCTCCATTTCTAAAGCCAGGCAGTGGGGGAGGGGAGAGAATATGGACGGATTCACTAAACCTGACACCCAGGATGATTGTGTCTACACCCGTTTCTCCTTTTAGGGTTCCTCCACACTACTTGCGGAGACCTGCATTTTTTTTCTGCACCCGATCCACACCAGTCACCCCAAGGGCACATGGAGGACATTTGTTTTCTATTTAATTATATGTGTAAACTCCCCCAGGACTGGGAAGAGTTAGAAAAGTGGGACTTTAAATGTGACCTAATAGGAATGCATCATTACAAAAAAATCCTAAGATTTTATGAAAAGTTACATACAGTTGATGTATCAAAATACATACAAAAGCGACATAAAAGGATCAACGCGTTTCGTATTATAAATGCTTCCTCAGGATCCACACCTTAGCAGTGAAGGTTTACAAGGCTGAACAAAAACAATAGCCATAGACATCAATAATCCTTAATGATTGCCACAAAAAGGAAAGAAACATATTAACAAATATATATATTACAACATATGCACAATGTATGGCCACCAGGACCTAGCAATGGACAAGAAGAAAAAAAACACACACACATAAAACATGGAAAGTGTCTAATCCCATGCCCTCTGACCCAAAGGTCATATAACAGCCTCCCTCCACACATGCCTACACCTACACCCCCCACCCCCACCCCAGTAAGCCTTCACTACTAAGGTGTGGATCCTGAGGAAGCAATTGTACTGCGAAACGCGTTACTTTTATGCCCTTTTTATATATATTTTTATACAGCTACTGTAATACTAACATGGCCATTGATGCCTAACTACTTCCTGCCTCGCCTATAGTAAAATGACGGCCGGGCGAACCTCTCGTCCACCTGGTAGGACGTCAACTGGCGTCCTTCCCGGATTGCACCTTGCGCGTGCCCGCAGTGCCACGCTGTGGAGAGATCTGTCACCGGCTGTGTACCTCAGACACGGGTGATGACAGATCCATGTACCGGCCCGTTGCCAGTACTATGTGACCTGCTGTGACCAATCACAGCAGGTCACATGACAGTTGTATACAATGGATGGCTTCCTTTCATGCCATCCATTGTACGAGTGTGACTATCTGTGAATGGTCACAGTAAATCACATGCACAGACTGAGCCAGTAACAGCCCATCTGTGTCATGTGATTAGCCATGGCCAATCACAGCTAATCACAACAAAAAAAGCTGAATGAATCGATTTCATTCAGTTAAATGCTTGCTTATAGCAAAGTAATTCTTTGCTATAAGCAAATTGTGTAAAAAAAAAAAAAATACTGATCACTTCCCCAAAGTAGTACAATGGTACCATTACTATGGTAACATTATACTACTATGTTCATAGTGTAATATGAAAAAAAAAATCTTAAAAAAAAGAAAAAAAATGTAATAAAAAATAAAAAAATAATAATAATAAAAAAAAAAAAAAAAAAAAACTATACATTTTTTTCGTATTGTCATTAGTCAGTGTCCCTGATCACCGCCACACCAGTTATATGCTGATGCTGTACTGCACTGGTGACAGTATGTAAAAGAAAAAAAATTGTGAAAATAATTTTTTTAATTTCTTCATTTTCCGAACAATTATGACAAAAAAAATACAACTTCAAAAAATTTGCTATGCCTCTTATGAAATATGTTGGACTGTCTACTTTGCAAAAAGTTGTCATTTGGGGGATATCTGTACTGTTCTGACATTTTTGGGCCTCAAATAATTAGATTGGCCGTCAGTACTTCAGGATTGATCAATATTCAGATCTATACCATAGTTTGTGAACTCTATAACTTTCCTACAAACTA